ACAGGCCAAGCAGGGAGCCCCCTGAGCCTGGCGTCCTGCCCCAGCCAAGTGGTGTTCCCCTGAGTGCAGGGCGGCTGCGCCCCACCCCCATGGAGCTGCACAGCCCAGGCTGGGCCCCACCTCTGGTGCCACTGAGCACCCTGCTGTGGCACGAGTCTGTGGAGCCCTGGGGCAGCCTCCCTCTCTACTCTCTCTCTCTTCCTCTTCTCTCCCCTCTCTCTCTTTCTCTTCTCCCTTCTTCTCTTTCCTCTCTTCTTTCTCTATTCTTCTCTCCTCTCTCTTCCTCTTCTCTCTCTTCCCTCTCTTTTCTTTCCCACCCTTATCACAACATGCTTAACAAAAAAGAATACACAAGAACAAAGGTAGTACATGAAGTTTTATTTATTGTCATTATGTTTAGAATTTTTAGAAAACCTGGTATTTACTGTAAAAAAAAAAGAAGCAACATTTATGATTATTAACTATATTACTATGCAGTGCGTCCTGCCATGTACCCTCCGCCCGAGTTTTGTTTTTCTGGTGTGTCTGCACTCTGCACCTTACAGGGTACACATCACATTTTTTTCAATACTCTGGCCAAAAATGTTGTGTACCCTGGTTTACACTGTCTTTTTTTCCAATTTCCAATTGTTTTATATGGCTAGCATAACTTTTAAGACAATGTTTTACGATTACTAAATGTTTCGATGTTTTAATACATAGTCTGTTACCTATGTGTATGAAAAATCTGCTGGTAGCACTTAAGGCTGTATCATTTGAAATTGGTGGTACTTTGTCAGAGTTTGGGAACCACTGCTCTAGAGGGCCTCTTACAGTTGGGGTGAAGACTGGAGCTTCATTGCCCCAGTGACTCAGGAGTGATTAGGAAGCAGATCCCTAGATGTTCCCAGGCCCTCCCAACAGAGGGGGGCAGGGTTCTTCTGCCCTGTACCAATGGCATCTTTACTTACAGTTTCTGTTACCTTTAGGTCCAGTCACACCTCGTTTTATTCCTATGCAAATACTGCTCTATGGACATGTCTCTGTTTGATGCAGACAGTATTTTGCCTATAGTCCAAACCCTGCCTCCATACTCCCTAGAGCAGGGGTTTTCCTTTTTTAATAAGTTTACCTCTGGCAGCCAGACACGGAGTGGGGGGGGGGG